TTTCACAAACGAAGCCCATGCTCCATGGCCCAGAGAGGGAAGGCAGCCCAAGACGAAACCCTGGAGAAGAGAGTATTGTAGTAAAGACAGATGGAGAAGCGGTACTGAAGAGTGGAAAATCAGATCAGGGAAGACAGAGAAGGATGAAGTTGAGTTGGTTGAGTGAGAAGTTCAGACAGTTGACTGTCTTAATTATCAACCCATCAACCCACGTAGGTATTTTTTTTCTTCGGCTTTCTCCAGGATAACTGGAATCGGTATTGAGATGAAAAGTTAGAAGAACCTGGGCAGGGAGATTGCCAAAGAATTAAGAAGTATGAGTGTGGCTAAGTGATGGCCTCGTCTGGGTTTTCAACGAAGAACTGGAAGCTGCCGTGTAAGTCCACGCTGGCCCCCTAGTGAAGTGGTATTTGCAGTTTCCCTCTTGTTACGTCTTACGATCCTCCTTCCAGGCAACTTGTCTGTGATCAGACCAGTTAAGTGATTTGTTCAGAGTTACAGAGCAAAGTCCATGTTCAATTTGATATAGCCAGTAATGAAGAAGGACTACGTACAAGGCCGATCCAGAGTTTTGATGGTGGCACAGCACTTTCAGGAATAGATCAGGATAGGAATAGGATAATAGAGTCCGAGGGGCACTCCAGGTTTCAGTTTCAAAAGCAGAGCTGTTCAGAGGTGCTTGTGATCCCTGGGACCTGGGTGAGCCCGTGGCAGTGGATGGAAGTGGCACGGAGGAAAAGAGCACTGGAGTTAAGGCCAGGGAACTAGGCTGTTGCTGCACACGTTGTCCATTTCAGAGTCGGGAGGGGTGAGGGGAAGACGGAGCCAGCTGCTCAGGTCTGGAGTGGACGAGACCTGGTAACTTACAGTTGTGAGGGCAGTGAGCACAGTGGGTTGGTGGTATTGCTGGGTGGTGAGCAGCTTCAAAGAAAAGGTGTTTTGAATGAGGGTGGAAACATAATGGCCAGGAGAGAGATCCAGGGAGTAGCAAACAGTGGACTTCATCTTGGCCCCAAGTTCCTGAGGTGTAGATGAAAGAAAAGCCTCTGTGCCAGAGCACTTCAAGAAAAGTTGAGTCCTCCAAAACCAAGTGTAGAGTTATACCAGTGTTGATAATCCACTAACTACACAGACACTCTGGAAAAGCAGGGCTCTCATAACTTCTGAAAGAGAGGGTTAGTACCGTTGTCAGGACGCCACCTACTGGTAGTCTTGACTAAGTGGTCCCTTCCCCAAGGCAGTGTCAGGACTTATGATATGTAGTTGCCGGGCAGGAGGCTGATCATTCATTGGCAAGTTGTACCTTTTATTTCTTACATCCAGTCTGCACAGGGAAAATTATGCCACTACAGATTTCCAAATGATGAGAGGTACCGTGCACTTCAAGGTTATTATAATGGCCTGGACCAAATTGACCCACGTTCTTGATACCCTTTGTAGGTCTTCCGAGACAGAAGAATAATACAAAATGGTTTTGAAACCAAAACCAGTGATCATTAGAGCCTTTCATGTTTTCCAGACAGGCATGTAACTTCACTTCCCCCATAGACGTTGTGGAGATGTGACGTTAGTTACTAACGACTACAAATTTGTGTAGAATTAGAAGGATGAAGGATTATCACAGCCCCTCTCCCTTTTTTACCCTGTAATCAGGGGGACAGATGTCAAGTATCAGCTATTAATCTTCTTCAAAGACAGGTTTCAGACAGCACCAGGGATTAATTTAGAATTAATTACACAATTGATTTGCTAATGGTCAGTAAACCTTCCATCCATCAATTACTATTAATGCCTGGTCAGGTTACTGAAGACCACCTGTGTCCAGTCACAAAACGTTACGTGCACTGCAGCTGTGTGTGCTCCGTGAACAAATGAGGTAGGTTATCCTTGCAGCCACTGGGTTAGGTAAAAGTTAGGTGCAGACACTTAATAACAAAAATGCTTGTAGACAGTATTTCCACTCCTAAAAGACTGCTAGTAAATGAAAAATTGATCTGTTTTTTCTCATTTAGGAAATAGATTACCAAAATTTGACAAAGCTTATACATACTTATTTCACTGGATAAATTTGATGCACAGATGTTATGGTTTTAGAGAATAATGACAAAATCGTTCATCCCAGTGACTTCATTTTGTACTTGAATAGTGTATTACGAGACTAGGGTTGCTAAAAGTGACAGGTTGCCAACTCTGATCAGTACTGAAAAGGGACTAAACACAGTGAAAGTGTTTTAGCGCTATTATCACTTAGCAAATAGAACTATCATTTGATGATAATCTTATTTCCATATTGTGATATGTGTGCCCTTCATGACTAAAACCAGAAAGTTAAGACTTTAATTCTTTGGATGGATTCTCCTAGGTGATTAACGGATGATAAATGATCATCAACCCCAGGTGTACGGTAGAGGGCTGGGTCCAGGACAACAAACTCAAATGGCAGTGGAGCCAGGCAGATACTGTAAGGTAACAAACAGGGCAGGCCGGGTGAACCGGGCCTGCTGGAGGAGATGTGCTAGCCATTCGGCTGGACTGGAAACGTGAGCTCAGAGTTAACCTGATCTGTCCATTTTTCCAGAGAAGCTAGATAATAGGTGATTTTTGAATTGTCTTTCAATTTTTAGATGGCAACCATATGTATTTTTTTCTTAAAAAACGTATGGGGGTCAGGGGGCCGATGACAGTTGCTGCCCATCGGTGACCAGTTTGCAGCTTGGTAGCGTCAGGAAGCCTCCTTTGGCGTCCCTGACTTGTTTTAGGTTTCTGAACCTTTTGTTTCCGCAATTGTGAGAAATAAGGGCCTGGACCTAAAAACTTCCTCGACGAGGATTTTATCAAGGTTTAAAATACCCCCACTGGTCAAACAGCAGAGAACCAAGGTTTGAAATTAGCATTCTATGTAGTCTTACTACGTAACCAACGTAAGTGAAAAACATCAATGAGGTGGTCAAATACAAAAAAATTCTCAGTTTTTCCCATAAAACATGGCTTCGATGGCCCAATTTATTAATTTTATGTGACAGCTTTCGGCCAACACTCATGGTAATTAATGTGCATGTGTTATAGTTTGTAATGTTTTCATATAAATGAATCTCATAATAAAGCCTGGTTTTCTCCTCCAGGAAGTAATTTCTCCCAGCATCAGAGAGCCAGCACAAGGAGAGCTGGGATCAGAATTTGGTTTTCCAGCTGCAGTGTCCAGTGCTCATTTCTGCTATACCATATGGCCATGTTAAAAAGAAATGTGTTAGGTTCCAATTTTATTTTCACTTCCAAACTGATACTCTGAAGCTAACACAGAGACTCTGATTTTGTATTAAAAAATACAGATGCATAGGACTAAATATAGAGAATATTCATCAAAATATTAATAGGCGTTATTACCTCTGCAGGGTAGAATGACAAGGCAAGTCCACTTTAGCATCCTGAATTTCTTTTGCAATGAGCATATTCTTTTTTTTTTTTTTTTTTTTGCGGTACGCGGGCCTCTCACTGCTGCGGCCTCTCCCGTTGCGGAGCACAGGCTCCGGGCGCGCAGGCTCAGCGGCCATGGCTCACGGGCCCAGCCGCTCCGCGGCACGTGGGATCTTCCCAGACCGGGGCACGAACCCGTGTCCCCTGCATCGGCAGGCGGACTCTCAACCACTGCGCCACCAGGGAAGCCCCCATATTACCAATTTCTTCAAGAAATTACAGTGATCATTGTTAATAAGGTTTTATAAATAAGCATTTTTAGAAATCCATCCCGCATTTTAAGAGTCCACAGCACCTGCAGGAAGCTCCTGTCAGAGCACAGCTCTGGTCCCTGCTTCCTTGGCAAACAGTCAGTGGCCCCTCTTTCAGTACAGTACTGACGGCTGCCACTGTCTTGACTTTGAAGGCAGTGCTTCTAATACTTTGCCATTAAATATATCATTTGCAAGAGGGCTTTGCTTTCCCAACCTGTTATTACTCGTAGTTTTACTCAAGTTTTTAATGAAGAATGAATGTTTGTTTCAAGTTATTTTCAACAGATTATCCACTGAGATCATGTGTTTTCTCCTCTAATATGTTAATGAATCATTCCCAACAGCAATGTAAACATGCTCTCTTAAAAAAAATGAATCAAAACCTCATACTTCTTTCCCCTTCCTTTTTACAGTAAAAGCCATCTCCCATTCTCTTTTTAACTCAGCTCTACCAAAACTGCTCGTCAAGGTCACCATTTAGCAAGCCTGGGATCCTCTCTCTCAGCAAATCCGGCTGCCTCTACAGTTTATTCCACCACTCCCCAGCGTCCCTGCAGCTCAGGGCCATGGTGACACTTAAAAGGTAGGTCAAATTGGGCCATTCCTCTGCTGAAAACCTCCAGCGACTTTCTTCCCTCGATAATTGCTCTCGTGGTCTCTCTCTCCTTTTTCTGTAAGTATCACGGTACTAGAGAGGCCTTCTATGACACCCTATAGCAGAGAGCTCTCATGCCCTATTAATCACCTTTATCTGGTTTTGTATTTCTTTCTTCCTAGCACTTCTCCCCCTCTGACTCACTAAGTTTATAATTGGGATATAGCTAAAATCTGCAGTGAGACTGGCTTTGGCGGCAGATTCTAGAATCTAGCGTTATGGTAGCCTCAAAAAAGAAGGAGTAACTTCCTATCTTCTGTAGATACTTGTTTCTGAGGGAAAGCTTACGATACACTGCATTTCTCGCCTGTCTTCTATGTACGAAGCACTGTGTGTTTAATCATACAGCATCTTCTCTTCTTCGTAAAATTCAGAAGGCAAGAGATGACATGCATGATCCCCTATTTTACGTAAAATTCAGAAGGCTTAAAGGTAAGAGATGACATGCATGATCCCCTATTTTACTGAAGAGGCAGAGTCAGGATTAGAACTCAAGTAAAGGCCTGTAGTCTCTGTAACCATTTACCGTAAACCAGAGCTGTTCAAATGATGCAAATGTGACATTATTTATTTGAACATTACTGGACCCCATTCTTAAAGAGAGAGGTCAAAAAAAGTAAACTGAAAGAAACCATGCAGTATTTATTTTATACAGTTCAACTGGGCACAAAGTAAAGTAAGCACCTCTACAGGAAATCCTTGGTGTATGAGGTTGTTTTTTTTTTCCCCTTACATATTAATTACTCTGGATAGTTTCTGAACTCTGTTTAATAGCAGGTCTCCTTTCTTGATAGTTTCTTGGTACTGCCAGTTCTTGCTATCAGGTCTATAAATAAATCGAAGAAAAAATGAATTATTTACCAGTCACATTACTCCATAACAATAGTCGACCTACTTTAAAAAGAAGGCACTCTTCTTTTAAGAGTGCCCTTTATTTTGTGCAGTATTACAAATGATACACAAACTTAAGAGTACCTGTTCGTTTCCACTATTTCATTCACTTTATCTATTTTGCAGTGTAGCCTCCCAGCAGCAATAAATCTGGAGAGTTCCCTAATTGAGGGAGAAGGGGAAAAAAAGCCTTTAGCATTAGCCTTATAGAGAATTCTTAGAAAAATATAAATAAACACATGATTTGTCTTTCAAGGTAACATTTTGATGCGCAGTAGTTGAGAAGATGGTCTCCAGTGTCTTGCAGGTGTCTTATCTACCAGCATTAACGTGACCCTACAAGTGCCTATTCCTACGAAGCGTAGGTGGTCAAAGAATGAAGCCATTCACAAGTACAGAAGTGCTCAGGAAAAAACCTGAAGGGGTTAGAAAAATTAAATAAACATAAGGAGGAAAATAATGCGCTTTACTGGGGCGGGGTAACCTGACGAAACCGTCCAGTTTCCTTCTACTTAACCTTTCCGGAGCAGGGAACTCGAAGGATTTTCAAAATCCTTCAGAGCACAGAGGGAAGGAAAGCTTTCCTAGGAATGTGAAAAAAGGCATTTGTGAGTATATCCCGTCACAACCCAAACTCCCCTAATTTAAGACAGACAGTTACTTAAACAACAGTCAGTCACACACCCAGCTCCACAGCAGCATCAGCAGTGAAGCCCTCTATCCAGGTCTGTGTACCACCATATGACACAGAGAAGAAAGAAAATGCTCAGAAATGCACTAGACTTTCCAATGCTGCCAAAGAGAATCAACAGAAAGCTGACTCCTTTAAGATAATCCATTTATAGTAGAATAATTAGGGGGAGTCTTCCTAATTAAGAAAAATCTGATTCCAAATAAAAATTATGTCACAGACACTAAAACATCTTGATCCTAGCACATAAACACCAACAGGAAAGGAACTCCAAATCTTAAGAACCAAATCTCGAACGGAAGTGCCATTTCAAGTCAGTGGGGAAAGGTTGGCTTATGGAATGGTGTTGAGGCAGCCTAATTATCACAAATCCCAGAAACCATGTAAGGAGAAAACGATAAACTCGATTATGTAAAGAGAATTTCTACATAGCAAAACACTACCAAAATCAAGTCCAAAACCAAAACCAAATGAAAATGTGGCTAAAAGATGTTTGCAGTATGTCGTTGCCACTGGTCAGTCAGTGGTGAAAGCCCCTGAAAGCCCCGCTATTCCTTTTCAGTAAGGAAACGTGCAATTTTGGAAAATCTGGTGATGGGCTTGAAAGATGGGGAAGTTATGCTATTGAAGATTTTAAGCTAGAGGTTATCTTAAAACTAGCGAGAACTACGTGTAACAATGTTTATAGAGCATGCTGTATTGCTATACTCGTTAAAAATTCAACTGTTGGTTTTTGAGTTATGTTACTGAGTGGCTTCAGGTAAAAATCTAAAAATTAAAAGAGATTAGCACTGTTTCTAAACTCACTTGTGTTCATTTTCCAGCAGTGTACATAGTTGCATCTCCAGAGTGCAGCTGCAAAACCCGCTGGCAGTGAAGTACACAGAGAATACTACCCAACCAGATACAACCAGCCTTGTGAGTCCTACCCAGATCCAAAGACCAGCAGGGGAAACCTCTAAAGAATCATCTTGATGTTATGTTATGATTCAGGAGAACAGCGCTAGACTTGACGTACAAGCAAACTCTAACTCAAGATTGCCCTCTGCTGAGGTAAGACCTCCCAGTCAACTGCTGACACCCAGGCTGACAATTCCACTGCTTCTTCCCATGCCCACCATCACCAGACTAGTTCAGCCCTTCATTTACCACCCCAATGCCCCCCCCCCACACACCCTGCCCCACCCCACGACGAGACTCTAAACAACTTTACAACATCCCCTCAGATCCACAACATCCCTTCAGATCCAACCTAGTATCTTCCTCCCATGCTTTGCTCTGGACCTCCCTGTGCCCATCGCCACACGTTCCTTCCCGTGCACCTAGGCTGCTGGTTTCTCAACCATGCTCCTTAAATCTATCTCTGCTATTTCCTCCATCTGGAATGTCCTTTTCCCCACCACTTCCTATAAAAATCCTAAATACGCAATGACAACCAGTCTCAATGCCCACGGGAAGCCATCTGTGGTGTGCCCATTTCGGTGGCACTTCGATCACATATTCTGACTCCTACTTATGCTCACTCTGAACTATGTACACTAAGAGTAAGCAGAGTCTCCTTTCTGGTTACAACACCGAAGTTTAACTACTAATGCCCTAAATCCGTGTTCAAGTCCCATTCCCTAGGTGACGCTTTTGTCGCCTCCCCGTGTGTGCTAATCAATCAAACATATCCCAAGATGACTCCTCTTCCCCAAACAAACCACCTACCAACAAAATGGGAGAATACAGCCCATGGGTATGGTTTCTAACCTTACATATGTCAACAGAAGGCCCGGTTTATTCAAATAATGGCCTGGTCCCCTTCTCCGACAATATCTTATCAAGTCTAAGGAAGTGGAAGTACACTCCTCGTTCAATCGTCCAAAATCATTTTAGGAGGGAAGGAAACAATCTGTGAAACCCAGGCGTGAATCAGATATTTCAAACAAGGCCTTTCTGGTAACAACAACTGCAGCTCGGTATGTACTTGACAACCTCTGCCTCTAAAGCTGGTCTGAGACCATGAAGGGAACAATTAATACCACCAGAAATCCACATACCATCAATTCAGATGCCATTGTAATGACTTGCAGAACACTGCAGTGTGTCTGTCTAACTGGTACTCCCCTGCTTCCGTGCATCTTATCCACAGCTTCAACTGAGCCTCGCACTGCTCCCAACCAGCGGACACGGCTTTACCACCACCACAGCACAGTTAAGAAACTAAAGGCTAGGAAGCCAGACCAGCCCCTGCTTTTTGCCCACCACAGGAAGCCACTCCTTACACTGTCGCATGAGAATCACGTTTATAACACTGCTCTTGGGCAGTGGTTACCAATTTCACACACGAGTTCAGAAGTACGAGTTCAATTCAGAAGTGAAACAAAACCAAACCAACTGAGGGAACGCAGCCTTCTATTTTGGTATGGATAGGATAACCAACAAAAACCACTATCACTGCCTCTTTTTCTTTCACAAAAGAGGAGGAGGAAATTTCTGGCTCCATAGTTTGGGTACGGTTAAGATCTGTGCGTTTTACTGAACGTAAAGATTACTCAAAACCAACCCGCCCACCCATAAACAAACACTGCTATGCATGCTAAGGTGACTGGGGGTGAAACGCACTGGTGTCTTGACACTTCCTTTCAAGCGGCTAAAAATCAGATGGAAGGTGATAAAACAAATGTAACAAAATGTTAATAAATTACAGAATCAAGGATCTATGGGAATTTACAGTGTAACTCTTTACAATGTTCGGCATGTTTGAAATTTTTTGTAATAAAATATTAGAAAAAACCCAAAATGGCTAAAAAGAGTGTGGTCTTTTAAAATGAAATGCAGCTTCATTAAAAAGTGCGTTTTTCACCGTGAGCCACTGCAAACTACATCTTCAAAGTTAAAAGGCTGATGTTTGGGAACCACTTATATATCTAGATACCACCTGGACAGCTCACGTTCTGAACGTCTACGTCTCCCCAACTCTACATCCACTACCCTGCGTCCAAGACACGGGGACACTTCCTCCATGAGCTGGTGAACAGGCCACCTGGTCCCCCATGCAGTGTGTGTGAAGACAGCATGGAACCGTGGTACCCACCGGAGGCTGCTCCAGTGGCTCCCCACAGCGCCTGGATTAAAACCCAAGTTCCCCACCAGGCCCTACACGACCGTACACTGCCTGACTCTCGCACGGCTACCCCCCTACCCCCACTACTATGCTGCAGCTATGCATCTTTCTGTGCCACTGTATTATCTCTGTAGACTCACTTCTACCTGAAATGACTTACACGTTTATTTGCTTACTTGCCAACTCTCCCCATAACTAGAATGAAACTCCATGAAGACAGAGACCTGAAACAATGCCAACCCATTCAGTTAAGGCTTTAGTACATATTTGATGAATCTCATTCAAGCGCTGGAAGTTCCATTTTTAACAACCAGTTTGCCCAGAATTGCAGTAGCAACCAAAAAATTGAAGGCATTAGCAGAGGAAATAGCTCTCTATCTATCTTATACTTCACACTAGGTCCTAAGAGTCACTACTGTAGTAGCAGTGTGGCTCACAAAGACGTAACAGAGACGACTTCTGCTCCAGTTATTATTAAAAGTAGACTTCTGTCCCATCTTTGCTACTACAGTAGAAACACATGAAAGCAGAGATAACAGATATGATTGTTTTGATATTGAAAGGAAAATTCTTAGATCTTGTTTTTATAATTGGGGGAAGCAATGTAAATGGAGAAAATATACAAGTTCACACATGCAAAGGTAAGTGTAAAAAATAAACTGACATGTTACTTAAACTTACTGATCAATGAACTCCACACCAACACCAAAGGCTTCTGCCATATAGCCCAGGGTTAATGACCTGTATGACTCGAGCAGCTGGCTGTACGCGTGAATCCGCATCTCTCTCACGTAGTATCGATAATGAGGAGCAAAAAGCCAGTCCTTTTTCATTTCCTGTTCCACAACAGCTGCAATGAATAACATGACAAATTATAAGGACCTCCCTTTGGATAAACCGATTAAACTGGACGATGGATTTATAACATGATAGAAATTAACAGCCTTTATCTGTAAAGTGTATACAGAGTATTAATGAGCAATCCACACACACAAGTGCAAATTATTTTACTGAATATCTACTACTATCTATCACTGTTCTAAATAATGAGGACACAGTAGGAGACCAAAAGACAAGATCTCTGCTGCCACAGCAACTAAATTTTCAAAGAGAAGAGATACATAAATGAACAAATAAAGAAGGTACTCTCTGAAAAGAACGAGTTCTGTAAGGAAAATAAAACTGATGTGATAGTGAACAGGAGGGCTTCCATGGGATTGGAGTCGACAGGAGAAGACTTCTCTGAGGAACCTGCCCTGCAGAGAGCAGGAGGCTTAGAGCAACACAAAGAACGCAAAGATCCAAGGCAGGAAGAGCCTGGCTAAGCCCAAGAGCAAAAAGGAGAGCAGGTTCAGAACGTAGCAGGAGGACAGCTACAAGGATACAGAAGGTAAGCAAGACAAAAGATTCAAGAATACACTTATGTTTCTGGCTTGAACAAGACAAAAATCCCTGGAGAAGGAGAATTTTTCTTTTTTTTTTGAGTTGCTTTGTGTGTGTGTGTGTGTGTGTGTGTGTGTGTGTGTGTGGTGGTGGGGGGGGGGGGGGGGGGGGGAGGGAAGGATTCAAACATTACACTTCAGCAGGGTTGAGGTGGATTCCCCTGTCGGACACCCAAGTCAAAGATCCCAAGGCTTGGGTCTGATGCTCACTGGCAAGTGTGGGGCTGGAGACATGAATCTGGAAATCACTGCCATCCATATGTATTTGATGACAGAATTATAGAGATAAGGGCAATGACCAAGCCTGGGCCAGTCAGTCACTGAGAGGCCTAACAAAGGATGAGGCAGTAGGTCCAGAGAAAATACATTATTTCAATACACTGAAGTTCTAAGGTCCTTAAAAAAGGATAACTGGCAGTTACAAGGAGTTCTGCCTGTTTGATCTGCCACTACATACACAGTGTCTGATGCCCGACAGCCACTTAAAAATACTGACTCAACCAGCTATTTCCAAAAGACATAAAGATACATTTTAAAGAAAAAGAAAAAAACCTACTTACAAAACTGCATGTAAAATACACCCACACGTTTAAAGGTGTTATGTGCTTATACGTCTGGATACAGATGCCCTTGGACAGACACCCTTGGAACGTGAAATCAGTAGTCGCCTCTAGAGAAACGACCTGGGCAATCAAAGGGAAGAGAAACTTTTCCTTCTTTCTATGATACAGTTTGAAAATTTTCCATGTATACAAAAAACTCTGGGGTTTTTTTTGGTGTGTTATTTTCTGATTTTTAAAGTACATATAATGAATAAAAGTTCTGGAAGGATATATAACAATCTTAAAATGTTTCTATTCCGGAAAAATTCTGTGTATGTGAACGTGTAAATGAATTTGGACCTAGGGCTGTCTCATCTCAGTTTATTTTTAGTTTTTGAAAACCAGCAGGTATTACCCAGAAAAGGATGCTATATTTTACCTTTCAAATAAAATATTTCATAGTACAAAGTCTATGTATATTTGGAGAAGCAAAAAGGCTTATTTATATATAAAACCAAATAAATGCTACATGCCTTAGTACATAAAAGGAGAGAGTAAATGATACAAATGATGACTGCTGTCAAAAAGATTTAACTATCTTCCTGTGTATTTTAAATACCTGGGAAATCATGAGCAGGCACCAGGCCCTGTCCCCACTGTCCCAGAAGTGTGCAAACAGCAGCCACCCATATGAGACCCGCCACAAGGCACCAAGTGCTAATTAACCCTGCTATACCTGCACACCCGTATCAAGTGGATAACAGCCAGCACACGCTGAGCAAAGAGGCAGCAAGCATCCAAACTAAAAGCCACCACTCGATTCCAGAGAAGAGGGCAGAGTAGAAGGACTTGAGCTCACCCACTCTCGCAAAAACACCAAAATCACGACCGCTGAACCACTGATAAAGAAGACTGGAACCTACCAACACAGATATTTCACACTCAATGAAAAGAAGAAGCCACAACAAGACGGCAGGAGGCGCACTGTTGTGACATAATCGAAACCCATTCCTGCCGGGCGAGTGACCCCCAAACTGGAAAATAAATATATCACAGAGGTTCTCCCACAAGAGTGAGAGTCCTGAGCCCCACATCAGGCTCCCCAGCCTGAGGGTCTGGCACTGGGAGGAGGAATCCCAAAAGCTTTGAAGGCCAGTGGGGCTTGAGTACAGGAGCGCCACAGGACGGGGGGGAACAGAGATGCTACTCTTGGAGGGCGCACACAAGGTCTCACGTACACTGGGACCCAGCACAAAGCAGCAACTCCACAGGAGCCAGGGCTAGACCTAACTGTGAGTCTTGGAGGGTCTCCTGGGGAGGCAGGGGCTGGCTGTGGCTCACACCAATCACTAGTCTCTGGGGGGAGGCCCCAGAGACTATTGATCAGCATGAGCTCTCCTGGAGGTCACCATTTTGGCATCAAGACCTGGCCCTACACAACAGCCTACAGGCTCCAGTGCTGGAAAGCCTCAGGTCAAACAACCAGCAGGATGGGAACACAGCCCCACCCATCAGCAGACCAGCTGCCTAAAGCCATAGTGAGCTCCCAGCCACCTATAAACACACCCCTTGACACTGCCCTGCCCACCACAGGGACGAGACCCACCAGTGAGCAGGCACCACTCCCTCGCACCAGGAAGCCTGCACAAGCCTCAGGACCAACCTCACCCACCAGAGGGCAGACACCAGAAGCAAGACGAGCTACGATCCTCCAGCCTGCAGAAAGGCGACCACAAACAGAAAAATCAGACAAAACGAGACAGCAATGTGTTTCAGATGAAGGAACAAGATAAAAATCCATAAGAACGACTAAATGAAGAGGAAGTAGACGACCTACCTGAAAAAGAATTTACATTGATGACAGTAAATATGATCCAAGATCTCAAAAAGAATGGAGGCACAGACCAAGAAGTTACAAGAGACGTTTAACAAAGAGAAGATTTAAAGAATAAACAGACGAACAACACAAAAACTGGAATGAAAAATAAACTAGAAAAGATCAGTAGCACAATAACTAAGGCAGAAGAACGAACGAGTAAGCTGGAAGACGGGATGGTGGAAATCCCTGCCACGGAACAGAATAAAGAATGAAAAGAAATGAGGACAGTCTCAGAGACCTCTGGGATAACACTAAATGCACCAACATTCACATTATAGGGGTGCCAGAAGAAAGAGAGAGAAAGGGCCTGAGAAAATATTTGAAGAGATTATGGCTGCAAACTTCCCTAACATGAGAAAGGAAACACTCACTCAAATCCAGGAAGCACAGAGAGGCCGATAACAAGATAAACCCAAGGAGGAACACTCCAAGACACATATTAAACAAAAAGTAAAGACAAAAGATATAAAAAGCAACAAGGGAACAGCAACAAATAACATACAAAGGAACCCCCATAAGATTATCAGCTGATTTTTCAGCAGAAACTGCAGGACAGAAGGGAGTGGCATGATATATTTAAAGTGATGAAAGGGAAGAACCTATAACCAAGAATACTCTACCCAGCAAGGCTCTAGTTCAGATTCGATGGAGAAATCAAAAGCTTTACAGACGAGCAAAAGCTAACAAGAGTTTAGAACCACCTTTACAACAAATCCTAAAAGAACTTCTCTAGGCGGAAAAGAAAAGGCCACAACTAGAATCAAGAATATTACAAATGGAGAAGCTCACTGGTAGAGGCAAATACAAAGTAACGGTAGGAAATCATCCACACGTATATATTATATCAAAACCCGCAACTGTGAGGAAAGTACACAGGCAGGATACTGGAAATGCATTTGAGATTAAGAGATCAGCAACTTAACACAATCCTGTACATATACAGACCGCCATATCAAAACCTCATGGGAATTACAAACCAAAAATCTACAATAGAGACACAAAAGAGAAAACGCAATCCAAACACATCACTGAAGACAGACATCAAATCACGAGAAGAGAACAAAAGAGGAAGGAAAGAAAAAAAGACCTTCAAAACCAAATCCAAAACAATTAACAAAATGGCAATAAAACATTCATATTGATGATTACCTTAAACGTAAATGGATTAAATGGTCCAACCAAAAGACACATATTGGCTGAATGGATATAAAAACAAGACTCGTATACATGCTATCTACAAGAAATCCACTTCAGATCTAGGGACACATACAGACAAAGTGAGGGGATGGAAAAAAGGTATTCCATGCAAATGGAAATCAAAAGAAAGCTGGACTAGCAGTACTCATATCAGACAAAATAGACTTGAAAATAAAGACTTGCAGGAGACAAAGGACACTACATAATGATCAAGGGATCAATCCAAGAAGATGTGACAGTTGTAAATATATATGCACCGAACACAGGAGCACCTCAATATATAAGGCAAATGCTAACAGCCATAAAGGGAGAAATTGACAGTAAGACAATAATAGCAGGGGATTTTAACATCCCCCTTTCATCAATGGACAGATCATCCAGACAGAAAATCAATAAGGAAACACAGGCATTAAAGGACACATTAGACCAGATGGACTTAATTGATATTTACAGAGCATTCCATCCATCCGAAAGCAGCAGAACACTCATTCTTCTAAACATTCTCCAGGACAGATCACATCTTGGGCCACAAATTGAGCCTCAGTAAATTTAAGAAAAGTGAAATCGTATCAAGCCTCTTTTCCAACCACAGCACTATGAGATTAGAAATCAGTTACAGGAAAAAAACTGTAAAAAACACAAACACATGGAAGCTAAACAATATGTTACTAAACAACCAGTGGCTCACTGAAGAAATCAAAGAGGAAATCAGAAATTACCTAGAGACAAATGACAATGAAAACATGATGGGCCAAAACCTTGGGACACAGCAAAAGCAGTTCTAAGAAGG